TGGCCCAAGTTTTTGATATTATGTCTGGGAAGGATATTATTTTCTACCACATCTTAACGACTCTCAGTTGCTCTGGTCCCTTAAATGTATTAATTCCTGAGTTTGGTCTAATTTTATTTTCAACTTTGTTCTCAAGCTATAAAAAGGACGAGTTTGATGAAGATAAACTTGTCCATTTTGAAAAGCTTCCCACTTCGTTCTCAGATTCAGTGTTCAGTGTCTCTACAAATGCCAGGACAGGGTGGGCAGCACAGGGCCTGCCCCTGCCATTTGGATGTTAAGATTTTCCAGGTGGAGGAGGTTACAGGGCAGTGGGCAACCTCTCAAGACCGCCGCACCCCAACCCCAGCCCTGGCCCCGTGTGCAGCTCCAGCAACCGCTTCCAGGAAGACTTGCAGAACTCACCTTAGGACCTCTTGGGCTGCTGGAAATGGGAATCATGGGTAAACCATGACTGGAGATAAAAACCTTGGTTACACAAACCTTGATTTAAGGAATTCTTTAAGAACTTAATATCACAAATCCCTCATTTTCCAGTCTCATCCTAGTGGTATTCTATACTACCTCTGTACAACAGAGGACATCACCTATCTGGGCACAACTGTGCAGCTTCTGAGGGACAAAGCATCAGGAGGCTTCAGGAAAGCCCACCCCCGAGACAGCCTTATTATCAGAGTCCTAGAGTCAATGTCAGTGTTTAGACATTTGCTCCTCCACATCCTGACACACTTATTCACTCATGTAGATGGATACAAATAAGGGCTTTTTCAAGAAGGAATGCCTTGAAATATAGTAAATGCTTAGTAAAAGCTTCCTGGGTTAAAGTTACATAAAGGTTATGGTTTCTTGGCTTTAAAACAACTGAAAAGTGAGGATTTCAGACCACTGGCCAGATATTTGGGCAGTAACCAACAACCAGGAAAAATTGTGAATTCTTACACAATATATGATTGTGAATTTCAATAGTTAAAAGTAAAAGTTTAGAGGTAGAGAGAGATATTTCCAAATGCATTATTTCCCCATGGAACTACAGAAAGTACTATGATATTTTTTTCTAAGGATCTCTAGGAACTGTAAAATTTAGTAAAAAATGGGCAAGTAAACTGTAGTTCATCATTCCCCTAGATTTTCTATTGCACTCTTAATTTATCAAATGAGAAAATTAAATACCTCTTATGTTAATTAAATATTAATGTTACTGTATACTCTTTTACATTGTCAAGACCAAGCCAAATCAAACACAGACGGCTGGAGTGATTATACTTAATCTCATTAGAGTCCAGTTGCAGACATCAAGAGAGATGTCCAGAACACTCTACATAGTGGAGTTGCTTTTAATTCAAAACAGAACTTATTTCATAATATATCAAACATTTAACCGACTTGGTGGGGTGGGAGGCGTAATCAAGACAAAAATATGACAGCATTTAAAATTATAAGTTACATGTTGGCCTGTAAAATCACTACAGAATTTGTATGGTGTAACAGTTAAGAAATCTTACTCTTCACATCACCAGTGCATTCATTCTTACATGTATTTGTGCATGTAAGGCACAAAGGAAGGTCAAAGGAAACAAAGTTTGTTGTGCAAACATGTGCATGAGAAGTCAAGTCTTAAGAAGTATGGAGGGCAGGAGAAGACATAGGAGGGAACAAAATGCAGAAGACATGGAGACAACAGACCACACAGAATAAAGGAATTTTCAGGGTATCTGGGAAGCAGAGATGTGTGCTGATGGTGAGGGTGATGGATGAAACCATAGGGAGTTGGATAAGCCAGCACCTACCCAATACTCTGTAAGCCAAGATAAGGAATTTGGACTTCATCCTAAGAGCAATGGAAGACCTTTGAGGGATTTAAAATAGGAAAATGACATGATCATGTTTGCATTTTAGAAATACTTTGGCTTGTGTGTGGAGAACTTTGGCTTGTGAAGTCAAAAGGCATGGAGTTATTAGAGAGGGCCGTGAGTCCAGTTTTACAGGTAAACATGAAATGCATGCTATCTTTCAAGGTCCACATTTTTAGAAATCACATACTCAGAAGACGAAAAAATTAGATAGAAATAATAGATTTGGAAATCCTCTTGATAATTTAAATTTTAACCAATGGAACTTGACTACCCTCCATCAGGGACTGTATCTGCAATGCTGTACAGTGTACAGAACACAGGAGATTTAGGAAGTGAGTGTCATGTGCATGACTACCTCTCAAAGTGTTTTTGGATCAAAATGGTTTTAATCATGCTAAGGATAATGAAAACTGATGTCTTTTGGTTTTTCTGGGAAATGATAGCCCAAGAGCCAAGAATCTTCATAATCCCCCACTACTGATGAATGGCTGAATTGGTGGCTTATTTTTGTTTTGGAAAAATTTGCATTTCTAAGCAGGATGAACTTATCGTATCTAGGACAGGTTTTCATTGTTGGTTTTTTTGCTTTGTTTTTTTGTTTTTTTTTTTTGGTTTTTTTTTTTTTTTTTTCTTTTTTTAAAGATTGAAGAATACCAAGAGGGAATATGAGTAAAGGTCATTCCAGTGTGGTGTTAATGACTTTTTAGAATTTTGTAGTTTGAGCTTAAAGGTTTCCTTCGGTTAGGAAAGTGTAGCATTCGGGGCACCTGGGTGGCTCAGTCGGTTGAGCATCCGACTTCAGCTCAGGTCATGAAATCACGGTTCGTGGGTTCGAGCCCCACATCGGGCTATGTGCTGACAGGTGAGAACCTGGAGCCTGCTTCTCATTCTGTGTCTCCCTCTCTCTCTGACCCTCCCCTGCTCTCTCTCTCGTTCTTTCTCACTCTCAGAAATAAAGAAAAACATTTAAAAAAAAAAAAAGAAAGCATAGCATTCATTTCAAGTCTATTTTTTTCTAATTTAAGAGAATACACTGTGTGTTTATGTTCTGGTATATACTACCAACTGTGTTATGTAAATATCCTGGAAATCATTGGTAAGAAGATCTAAAATGCTATGAATAGCCTCCTTAATACTTTAAAAGTCATTCTGCCTTCAATTACCATAATAAATCTTTCTCATCTCTTATTCCTGAGGGAAATTACTGGAGAGTAAACTCAGTTGGATTAGTTGGATTTCTTTTGAGGAAGTAGATAAACCAAGACTCCTGAGACTTTATACCTTAAAGAACATCCAGGGGAAAAAAGCTTCATTGAAATAGTTTTCTACTTTGTCAATTTTCTCAAAATCTCCATTTTAAACTTTACCTATTTAAAATACAATTAAGTAGAAAGAGTCTAACCTCTTTCTTGACCAGTCTTGACCTCTGTAGGCAAAGCCTCTGGGCATTCATTTTTTCTTTTCCTGACATTTTAGTCTAACCTCAATGTGACAGATTCAGGCATCCTGAAAGCAATGTTGTGAAGATTTCTTTTTTTTTTTTTTTTTTCCAAGCCAAACTGTATCCAGCTTTATTAAAGATACTTTTCATAAACAATCATGGTATTTCAGGCAGGACATGGGCAGACAATCGTTAACAGTATACAACAACTTTCAAACTCCCTTCTTCAATGGACTACCAAAATCAGAAAGCCACTATAATGTTGTGAAGATTTCTGCTCTCCTTGGCTTACTCCTGGAAACCTGGCTTCTCTGCCTATGAGCTGGCCACACAATAGCATCATCAATGTTGATCAACTGACTTGGACACTAAAGGAAGTGAGGACATGCAAGAATAGAGAATTGCTCAGCCAAGAGACAAAAGTGGCAGGTTTAGAAAGAAAACTCGAGGTTGGCACATCTTCAGAGGGGTTGGTTGGTATGCTTTCTTTTCCTATATTTTAGTTCAACATTGACTGAACAGCAATGTGTGTGTTCTGTATCAGGCAATGTCAGGAGTATAAAAAGTGCAGAAACCATCTCTATTGCCCTAAAACTTCTCACAGTTGGGAAGATGGGATGCATATCCAAGCTAAATAATAAGACTGTATGCAGGCATGATAATAAATTAAGTAGACTCTGGGGGTATGGAGCAGGGAAGACAGGTGGCTTTCAAAAAGGAAAGAAGTAGGGAGTAGCAAGGTAATGTTTAAGAGAATATGGTAGAGGCGTGCTTTAGAGGCAGAGGAGAGGGAAGGAACAGTAACATAAGGAAAAATATGAAGGCAGGGCACTATTTAGAATTGTCTAGGCTTTCTGAAGGAACCAGAGCAATTAGGATGGGAGAACATGACAGGAGATTATGTTGGAAAGCTTGGGCAAGACTGTAAAGAATTGTGGATTTCATTCCAATGAGTTTAATTCGACTGGTTGACAAAGAGGCATATGTAAGGTTTTAAGTAGGAGAGTGCCATTCACCCTATAAAATATGCATTTTTAAATTTAAAATCATTTTTAAACTGAACATAAAAATATTCAGAGAAAAAGATAAAATGAGGCTGCTGTGGTGTCAGACCTTAATGTCTTTTTTAGAGCTGGGGAGGTCTCTACTTGATGCTGTTCAACATGCTAGGGGATACAAAGGATATAAAAGAAACATAAGGATAAAGTAGGCATCTCAGATTCTTTTAGGGGAACTGATAGTCTCAGAAGCAAGCAGTTTAATGAGCTACAGAAGTCAGGAGACAAAGAACATCTGCATCAAGATGATTCCCAGGCCACAGAGCTGGGACAGGTATTACAAAACAACCCAGGCTAATGTCCTCAGCCAGAGCCATCTCAGCACCTCCTGCTGCTCTCAGTCTCTTCTGCCTTCACTTCTGGATCTCCAGACCCACAACATTCCCGGTAACTACCTTCCACAGATCTTCCCCATCCTCCCTGAAATCTGGAAAAAGATTTCAGTAACTTGCCCGAATTCACCCAACCAACCTGGCGGAATAAGAATTTGGAAGCTGTGTGCTTTTCGTAACATCATAGGACCTTTTACTAAAGGTGTCAACTTCCACTCCCAGGGGGCTCTTAGTGCTCCAGAAACCTGGATTTCCAAACTCTGGACACATCTATGTAGACTTACAACATCTACTTTTCCCTTCAACTGACTTCTAGAGTTCAACATCTTTGACTGAACCTTCCAGACCGTTCTTCCTGTGAAGCCAGACTCCTGCTACCTGGATCCTACTGGCTCTCTGAAGAAGATAACAAGGAGGGGCAGCCAGAGTCTACACCAAGTAGGTAACCTGGTTACCTAGAGGTTAGGTATCAGGGTACTGGGTGGCGAGTCAAGAAACAGAGAAGCGAAATGGCCAGAGGTGGGCAGTAGGAGGTTTACATTACAGGCACAAAATCAGCAAAATAGACTTGCCATCAGCTCCTATGACAAGAAGACAGGTGGGAAGCTAGAGAAAGAAGCCTACTGCCTGTGTATAAGCAATGCGTTGGTGTCATGCTTTAGACTAGTGGGGAAAACTTTTCACCTCTAATTTCAAGCAGGAACTGACCTTTTATGTTAAAATGGTAACATATCTAAATTTTTCTGTCTAACAGGGATCCTTTTGAGCTAAGATTCAGCTGCTGAGCTGTATTTAAAACACCTCTCTGATTACCACAGCATGTAAAAAGAAGCTGTGTCCCAAAGAGAGAATGCAGTTGCCAAAGAGAACACAGAAACAGGCACAGCAGGCTTGGGCTAGAGAGGGCAGCCCCCGTGGCCACAGCAAGCCTTACAGAGCATAGCGCAGGGCAGCAGAGCCTGCTGTAAAATAAATGGGAAAGACCGTGTCGTCGGAGGCTGTTCTGTGAGCAACTTCCTAAGCAAAAAGTTCAGGTCTCAGAAATAAGGTCACCAAAGCAAGAAGAGGATACCCATGGAGACATGTTCTATGGAATATGAGTACCTGGGACATGAGGGAAAGGACCGAGGCTGGGCCAGGATGGCTCCCTAGTCCCCTCCGGTTAAGGGTTATCACTGATCCCTTTAGTGTGGAAGAATTCCAGATTCCTATCGTCCCCCACCGCATATGCCTTGAGTTTACAGCCAGTTTCATCTGCCCCTGAGTACACGAACGCTCCCCATTTGTAGCGCCCCTGCCATTCTCCCTGCTCTGGACCCCACTTCTCAGAAAAATTTCTATTTTTCCCCCTTCATGATCTCTTTTAAAAACATTCCTCAAGATTTCTAAGTGTGTCTTCACTGGTAATCCGAATGGTCCTTCTTCTAGGAAGGTAAGTTCACTTTTCTTCCAGAAGCACCGAGGAGATATGAAGACTTACATTCCTAAACATAAGGCTCACATGCTTTACAATCTCTCTGGCCTCATCTCCATTCTCCTGTCTCCTCCCATGTAGGCCCCTCCCCCCATAGCTGCCCATCTCTTCTGGATCACCAACCCAATGGTATAGAGCACAGGTGACCTGGCTTGTTCCTTTGAACCGGAGCCCCCTACTTTCTGGAGGACACTTCCCCCCCGGGGAAGGGGAGGAGGCCATGGGTAGGTGGGCAGAAAAGCTCGCTTAGGGATACATAGGAGGTTGCTGCTGTCTGGATGATATGTGTCAGGTTGCCGTGTCAGATCCCACTGGCTAAACTTCTTTATTCACAGGTATTTTCCCTCAGGACTCTACTTCTTCCTTTCTGTCAGGTTTCCTTTGGGGACACTCAGTCCAGCAGAAGTATCTAAATATACATTGGTTTCAAGTGGCCCTACAGGGTTCCTGCTCCATCAGGTGCATCAAGAGATATGTCTGGTCATTGCTGTCAGTGACAGTTAAGAACTTTCCCAATGTTCTATGACAGTTAGGAAGCAGTGAATCATCACAGCTGGCCTCTGGGTCAGAGGTCATGAGTTCTAAGGTTCCTCAGGTCCTGCCTGGATAAAAATGCCCTTTTACGTGCATTTAAAAAACTGTACAGTTTTCATTTTGAAGTATGGGTTCATTCATATTCAGTACATTGTTTTGCTATTTTCACATAAAATCCTAACTTAAAGAGTTCTAGGTATTCCTCTGTGTCCATACATTGATAGGGCAGATCTGAAGACGAGGTTCCCAGAGTTTAGGAGTTTGGCCAGCACTCTTGTGCTAATGAGGATGAATTCTGCAGGCGTGGAGTCCGACATAGGGCTGGATGGGAACAACTTGGGAAGCTGACTCAACCTAGGCAAAAACTGGGGTCACGAAAGGGTCAAAGTTCTGTCCTGACCTGCTAACAGATATGGGGAAGAAAAGAACATGATTTTTTTAAGCTTATTTATTTATTTTGAGAGAGAGAGTATGCACAAGCAGGAGAGGGGCAGAGAAAGAGGGAGGAGAAGATCCTAAGCAGTCTCTGTGCTGTCAATGACCCCCTCACGGGGCTCAACCCCACCAACTGTGAGATCATGACCTCATGATCTGAGCTGAAATCAAGAGTCGGGCACTTAATGAGCTAAGCCACCCAGTTACCCCAAAAAGGACATAATTTTTAACAACCCTGAAAGTTAACCATTTTTTTCATCATAGAACTTTTTATTTTTGCTTCGTTTGAGATATAAAGCAGAAGGATACATAAAACTATCATTTAAATAAAAAGGATTAAGCAAACACCTATATAACCTAAATATATGTTTTCTATAAAGGCAGAATCCAGTCCTTGAACTTGACTGATGTGGGAGCTTGTAGGGCAAACAGTGGAAAAGGACAGGTAAAGGCATAGTGGTGAGAATTTGAGGTGAGCAGAAAAGAAGTGGGGATGATGGTGTATGATTGCTTTGGGGGTACATAGACACAAAGGCCTGAAAAGACACTGAGCAGCAAGGTATGAAGCCAAAGGCACTAAACCAGGAGTAGCAGATATGGGCTCTTATCTCCTCGTCTTATTGGACATGCGACTAAGCAAAAGCACTTCCCAGTGAGTGCTGCTTTCTTCACCTATAATACAGAGTAACCGTACCACCTCTTCCTGTTCCACAGGATTGTAGTGAAAACGAAAAAACATAATTTTACTTAAGTCCTTTGACAACTGAAAGAGTATTAAGTTTAAATTCTATTGCTTATTCTTATGTTTTACTTATTTTATGCACTGTTGTTTAATAGTGTATGACATGAGTTTTAGAATCCGATGCTAGGTCTTAATTGTTTCAGGGAATTGGGTTAGGTTTTGGGAAATACTCTGGATTTCTCAAAACATCTGATGAGGAGTAGCTGAGGAGTAGCTATGGAGACAATTTGTGAGAATCGGAACACCTGGCAAGATGGAAGTCTGGGTTTGAACTAGTCAACCCACCACAAACACACCTCCTAGAAAATGCTCTGCTTGCTCTTTGGCACTGGAGCTTTTTGTTTGTTTGTTTGTTTAACACAGCCTTAAGATACTTGTTCACTGCTTTTGCTATTGAAGAACTGTTTGTTCTTTTACTCCAGGGGTATTGGATTTCCTGGTCTCTGACTTCACTAAGGAAAGATGAACCCAGCTCACCCCTGTGGCAGCCGTTTTGTTGAGTTAAGAAGACTCTTGGTTACATTCCCAGTGTTACAATTAAATAGGGTGTATCTATATAAGAAAAAGAAGACATTGCAACTCTAACTAGCTTTTTTTTTTTTTTTTTAACATTCTAAGAATAAGCTAGAAAAACATGTACAGTTTTAGCGTGGCTTTCTGGGCTGTGATTTAGTTGAGAATAAGCACACCTGACATTTTAGTGGAGTGCTTAAGACCCTGGATTTGGCCGTCAGAGAAACCAGGAGTAAAATGTTGGCATACATCCTTCCAATTAACTTTTCAGAGTGCAAACCCACATAGGCAAAATGAGGTGTTTTTCTTTTTTTAATAAAAGTAGGACGATATAATTTGTTTAGTAATTTATGACTTTAACTTAGTTCATAGAAATGAATACTCTATATCACTTCATATCTATAGCTTATAATATTGCCATCATATTTTACTGTATAAATTTAACCAGCCCCCTCCTGTTTATTTAGGTTGCTTTCAATTCCTTTTTTTCTTTAATTGGAGTATAGTAGACATACAATGTTATATTTCAGGTGTACAGCATAGTGATTCCACAAGTTTACATTAGGCGACGCTCACACAAGTACAGCTACCATCTGTCACCGTACAACACTGTTATATGCCATTGACTATAATCCTCACATTGTACCTTTCATTTCTGTGACTTACTCATTCCATAACTGCAAGCCTGTGTCTCCAACTCTCCTTCACTCATTTTTCCCATCCCCCTACACCCACCCTTCAGGCAATCACCAGTTTGTTCTCTGTATTTATGGGTCTGTCTGCTTTTTTTTGTTTGTTTATTCATTTATTTTGTTTTCTAGATTCTACATATAAGTAAAATCATATGGTATTTGTTTTTATCTGTGCAACTTATTTCAGTGAGCATAATACCTTCTAGATCCACCCATGCTTTCCCATATTTAATTGTTTGCTTTTATGAATACTGCTGCAATGAATAATCTTATAGACGCTAGTTACTTCTGATTATTTCATTAGTATTAAGGACAGACAGAAATCTGGAATTTTCCAAACCGTATGAGTATTTTGAAAAGTTTTTCACACTAATTTTCAGAACAGTTATTAACAAAGAGGAGAGAACCATATTTTTGTACTGATGGAAATGACTTAGGAGAAAGAAAAACTGATTCTTGGCAGAAAGAGCAAAAGAGCTAGAGTAGTATCCTTGAGGAGGTAAGAGGGTATGGGATCTTAGTGCCCAGATGGGTGTTGGTGGGGGGGGGGGGGATGATTTTAAATAGGAGCAAGGAGAACTTATCTCTTGAGAGCTGGAAGATAGAGCATGTGGGAGAAGATGCTGGAAGGTTGACAATGTTTGTGGCAGTGACATGTTCTGACTGCTTCAAATTTCTTGGAGAAATAAAAAACAAGGTCATGAGTTAGAGTGAGGGTAGAGGAGAAGATGAAGGTTTTGAGAGAAGAAGATGGAAAAATATAGTTAATTCTCATCATCATGGATTTAACATTTGCAAATTCACCCATTTGTTAAAATTAACTTGTCACCCCCAAATATCTAGTCTTCGTGTTTTCATTTGCAGATATGTGCACACTCAGAGCTATGAAAAACTATAGTCACCAGACATGTATCCATCCAGCTGAGATTGAACAAGTTACATTGTGCTTTATTGTTTTAGCTTTCAGTCTAGCAAAAAGGGAACTTTTTGTGGCCTATTTAGAGCCATATTTTTTTTAATGTTTTATTTATTTCTGAGAAAGAGAGAG